AAAATTTTCAAAAATATATTTTTCAAAGTAAAAGTAAATGGTTGTGTTTGGATACAACAAAATGTTTTATACGTATGCATGACACATGACAACATATATGGATATCATGTGGTATTTGAATGTAAGTCAATAATATGTGGAAGTCACATGGTAGTATATATGGATGCTACATGGCGATCAAGTGTAAGTCAATAATATGCGGATGCCACGTGGCATCATATATGAATGTCATGTGGCATTTGAAAGTAAGTCAATGATATTACATGCCATGTGACAGCATAGATGAATGTCATGTGACATATAATTGTCACAAATTATGTTTAGATGACATGTGACATCCATATGTGCCATATAGAAAAATATATATAGATGCCACATGCCATTTGAATGTTGGGTTAATGACATGTGACTGCCACGTGGCACCTGAAAGGTATGTCAATGATACTGTATGCCATGATCATGTGTCACGGAATACATTAATGTGTCTATACTTCTACATGACATTTATATATGTTATCACATAGTGGGGTGTATAATAGTATAAGTATGATGCACATGTTTTAAAAAGTATAAAGTATTTCAGAAGGCCAAAAAGCATGAAGCATCAAAAGCTGACTTCATGTTTTTCATATTTTTTGTACTTTTACTTCATATTTTTTAAAAGTAAATAAAACCCAAAACAAACACGTTCCAGGCCCAAGCTGACCCAACTCGCAATTTTACACAAGCTAGGCTTGGATTTTAGGGCATTGGCCCAAAAGTTCAAGCTTTGTTATTTTTATGGTTTTGGCCCAAGCCTAACCCTTATATGGTCATCCCAAACCTAGCTCAAGCCTAGCCATACCTTATCCTAACTTGAGTCCGACCTACCTATGTACATACATATATGCATATACAAACACATATATGCAAATTTTTTATAAAGCATACATACGTGCATACATTTATATTAAATTTTAATATGAGTGATTGACCAACTTGAGCCCAATCCTAGTGCATCAAATTTCAACTTGGGGTTGGGCTCAGATTGGACAATTTGGGCTTGGCCCAATTCTTAGGGTTGGGCTAAGGTTAAGCTTAAACCAGACCTAGCTCATCCCAACTTGCACCCCTACAATGAGGGAGTAGCCCATCTCCCATCCCCTTAACCCCCAACCTTAATGGCAATGAAATTTATCCTAGGTCTTACCAATTAATCCACCATGTGTTGGTTGACTATTCCACTATAGTTGAATATGCCTATGGATGTCATTCATATTTGATCATTTCCCATGATTTCATCCTTGAAATTTCTTTCATTTAATCCTTTGTGTTTTACCATGCCTAGAACTTCCAATGTTCTTTCCTTTTTGTGTATATGTGTGTTTGTGAATCAATAATCTTTCATATTCATTATACTACTATTGATAAACATATATTGGGTTATTGTCTAAAACTCCCCTTCTCTTAAACTTACCCTAATTTATCTCTAAAGACCCCCTTGTCTGGTACTTTTATTTATAATAACATATATAACTTTTATCAAGTTAATGTTAATGACCATAATAAAAGTGGTCCACATATGCCATTAATCCTTTTCAATGACAAAACTAACCCTAACCAACTAGTCTATTCTATTAACTAATATAGTAAGAATATCCCTAGTTAATTTTTCTTCCATATTTTTATGCTCATTCATCTCATAACCCACTAATAGACTTAATTCAAAATTTTTGCTCTAAACAATGGCAGCAAGTGATAAATAAATATAAACCCATAAACAAAGCAAAGAAAATATCTTAATATGGTTCAACAATGAGCCTATGTCCGTCAAAGAGAAGTTTTACTCAATCTCCTTTCAATCTTGAGAACTATACAAGAATTGCATATATACAAAACCCAATAGAAAAGGAAAAGAGTAACCCCAAAATAGGAGGATTGGATCCAAATTATTTCCATAAATCATGCTAATACTCTCCCTCAAGTTGGAGCATGGATATAATGAACACCCAACATGTGTGTGAAAGAAAAAAAAAATAAACCTTTACCAAGAGCCTTAGTAAAAAGATCAACAATTTGAATCTTTGGATGGAACATGAGTAGTGGTAATGAAACAAGCTTGAATTTTCTCACGAACAACATGGCAATCGATTTCGATATGCTTTCTGCACTAATACCAGGTTGGCTACTATGTGGAGACGATCCTTATTGTCACAATATAATTGCATAGGTGGGACATGAGAGATTCCAAGATCTTGTAATAATTACTTGAACACATAAGCTTACAAGTTTTGGATGTTGATATTACCAAAGTTGGAAATAAAGGTCTCCAAAGATAACTTGGTTGAAGGTTCCACCCACAAGCACAAAAAGACATCATAAGCCTTGTGATGTGGTTGTAGGGGTAGTGACTCTGATGATTAAGTTAGTTGAGGTGTTGAGGCAAGAGTAACAGGGTGCATAAGAGTCATTCCTATCTCTTTCTTGTCCTAGTTATATAGGATCCCTAATAAATGTGGCATTAAGAGGATTTTGGAACAGCTTTGCATGTCAAGTCAAACTAATGGACGACTTCATTAATAACAAGAACCACATGGCTGAGCATTACTTTGGCATTTAATGGATTGGAACACTCAACCAAGGTTGTAAAACTTAGAGGGTGCTCACCATTAAGACCAAGGGAAAAATCCTGTAAATGCCCTTTGAAGCCTGTGAAAATATGATTGAGTCCTCCATGTGCCATGCTCTTAGAGGCATGAAAGATTTTGGCAATATTAGATGCCATAGTTCAATATTAAGCTTCAACCAGTGAACGAGGAACAATAAATTGCTTCTTACTTTTCAAATGAGACTATCACCAAGCAACACATAATAACCAATAATAAAGCAACAAGTGGTAAGACAAGCCACCTAGTTAAAATCGTAGTAAGCACATATTTGCAAGGAGGTAAAAGAGGATAAAAATATCCCATTTTTCCGATGCAAATTTGGTGTAGCAGATAATGCAATGAGCTGCTTCAAGATGATGTGTGTAAGGGGCTTGTATGAATAGACTTAGGACTTAAACAAAATAAACAATGTTTGGATGAGTTATGGTGAGATAAAAGAAACGACCAATAAGATGTCGACATTGAGTGGGATCATCAAGCAAATTACCTTATGTTGGAAGAAATGGGGTCACTATAACTTTGGAAGAGAAGCTCTGAGGCGCGTCTGAAGACACTGTCTTTAGAACGTTATTTGCCTCCACTCAGTTTCATTGAGTTTGCTATTGGGTTACAGGCAAATTCGTTCCCAGGATACAACAGAGCCTTGGGCGAGAATCTGCAACCAGCAAAGTTGAAGAGTCTCCAAAGAAACCTTCTGTGAGACTGTAGCAGATCGGATAGAGAGAGAGAGAGAGCGTGAATTTCGAAATTGTGTGTTTTTAGAGTCTGATTCATGCTCCTTAAATAATTTATGAAGAGGTATGAAGAAAAGGTAGGTGCTGGTTTAGAGAAGGCACTTTGAACAGTCACAGTTTCAAACATTGTGGCCGTTTAAAAAGTAGTTAACATTAATGACTGTTAACTTTGAATTGTGCGTCTTGATCACACCCGATCGAATCGTGATCGTTGATCTCATCAATGGTGATCAATGGTCAACATCGCACCAAAACCAAAGCCGCCCTTCGCGAGCAAAGTGCACTTCTAAAGCGCCTCATTGCGCCGCACACACGCACACACACGCGTGCACGTGCGTTGCGTAGTATCGAACCCCCATACTCTCCTCTACTAATTCTAAGGAGTGTAAATCAGCTCCTATTAAAATACTGAAAAAAAAGATTATAATTTTCCAATGTGGGACAAGTTCAAAACTGGGTTTTGCAAGAGAAAAGCTAATTTTTCAATCAAGTGTGCAGGTGCAATTTCTCATGTAATTGACCAATCAAACCCATTGGATTTAATCTCTTATGAGATTAAAATCCAACACCTTCTATGGGAGAGAGTTTGAGAATTTGCTCTAAAGGAAACTCAGTTGGTCAAGCGACAAGAAAACTAGTATCATAAAGGATATCAAGAGTATATTTTCATTGAGACAAGAAAATACCCTTAGTAAAACGAGCAACCTCTATACCAAGAAAATACTTCAACGTGCCAATATCATTGATATAGAACTGTGATTGAAGAAAAATTTCGAAGTAGTGATAGCCATAGGATCATTACTAATAACAATAATGTTGTTACACAAGCACAACAATAATGTTGGCAACATAAGCAAAATTTTCATGGTAATCAATCCCTTCAGTTTGGATGTACTCCTTTGCAATTAGGCACACCTTATAATGTTCAATGGAACCATTTGAGCAATACTTAATTTTGTAAATCACTTACAATTATTATTGAGCTTAAGATCTTGAGTTTCAAAGGCCATAGCATCTCTCCACTTAGGGTCCTTGATGACTTGAGAAAAACTAGCAAGCAAACAATGATTATCCTGAAGATAAGTAGGGATGTGATGGGAGTGAGTGGAATGACAAAGATGAGTAGGCATGAGATGATGATGGGGATGGTGAAGGTGATGTAGGTAGTGGATTAGTCTCAATAGACATGAGGAAAGTTAAGGATAGGCATAGGCAAAACCAAGGTTTTAAAAACCAACTTGGAAATAGAACTGCTTTGACCACCAATTTTTAGGGTTAGCGATTCAATCTGTTCAGTCTGGGTCAATGACTCGTTGACTAATTCAATAGTTTGACCAAAGACCAATTTGGAGTAAAATGGAACCGGTCGCTTGGACGGTTTCCGGTCCAAACCGTCCGACCGTCCGGCTCAACGACGGTTCGAAAACATTAGGTTGGAGTGATCAAATCACGAAAACCCATGTGCCTGTTTTACACGTGAAAGGAGGGGCACTTATGTGAAATCGCAAGTATTCTTGCTTGAAAATAAACCCTCTCCCCCTTCCATTTTCGTCCTTTCTTTCCTCAATGTCCATTTCCGTACTCCGGTACTTCAACCACCTCACGTGCCTCAACGTCCCACAACACCCAATCCTAGTGTAGCAGTATTACAAGGGACGTCATAATTCCCGAGTTCCTCCATGCGGAGTACCTTCGTTTGCGCGCCATTATTTCCTGCTATGGTTCTGAGTTTCACCTGAAACCCGTCCCTGATAGGCTCCCACTCGATTACGCCTCCGGTGTTGTTCCCGGCACAGTCTGTAGTACTCTCTTCCCAGTTATTCATAGGAGCTAGGACTAGGAGGAACGAGGAAGGGCACGTCGGAGGCAGTCAGATATCGGCCGAAGAAACTCTTGAGGCGCACCAGCTGTTTGTTCCCTTGGACTATCTCCACTATCCACCTTGCTCTGCGAGTGGATCCCTTACGGCTTTGTCGAACTATTTCTTCATCGTCGTCGGCGAATAGATACGTCCCGAGGTCAAGGTGGCTTCGGAGTCTAACGGCCTGGGCTTTGTTAAAGAACTCCATGGCGTATATTATATCATATATAAAATATTTATTAATCTGAATTCTGAAGATACCAAAAAACAACAAGACCAGGAAATTAATTACGAAATCTGAACTTGTAGGGTTCAAGAAACGAAACAGATATAAACAAGGAGAAGAGGATAAAAGACTAAAAAAGGCGGAATCGTCGTTTCTTACCTTCCAGATGAAGCTGAAGGAAGATGACGTGTTTGGTTGATCTTTACTTTCTCTTTTGATTGTTTCTTAATGGAAAGAGGTCTGATTAAGAGGGGTTTTGGCGTTTTAGTTTTGTTTCTAACTGGAGAATAAGAAAAGAAAGTGGAAAACGGAATCTCCTCCTCCGAAAAAGAAAAAAAAAAAAGAAAAGAAAAAGGACCAAGAACTCAACTTTTCAAAGTTGGTCAGAACTTTCGTTTCTCGTCGATCTGGTGGCTTTCAGTTTTTATGTACAACAGGAGATCTGAAGTTGTTCAAATAGAATTTTCATCATAATTGAAGGGAATTTCCGGCGACCATTCCCGTAAAGTGAGTGTGGAAGCTGCCCTTGAAGGTGAAAACTCCGGCAATTCCATTCATCAAAAAAAAACTGTGGAAATTCCGGCGACCAACCTGTAAGGTGAAGACTCAGCTGTGAGTTTGCAAGTGCGATATCCAACCAAGGAATAAGGAAGATAGTCAACATTCCGAGATCCAAAGTTTAAAATACACCAGACCAGGTTTCGTGAAGTGTTGTATTATCCTGTTAGTTTGGCATCCCAACTGTTCGACAAAAATCCACAGCCAATATACTGGTGTCTGGGTCAAGAAAATCGAAGCCAGGTACTTCCCAATGCTACCTTTTATCTTTGTTTTGGGAAAAGCTGCGTTGCTGGTGTTTTTTCCGCTTCTCAACATGAAATGTTTAGCATGGAATACTAGAGGGTGTGGAAATATGGACACTCGTAGACACCTGAAAAAAATTAATCTCTGAGCATAATCCAGACATCATTTTTCTTTCAGAAACAAAATTAAGTACATAAAAGGGGAAAAACTTGTTTCAAAACTGGCTTTCACAAAATGGCACATAGCTGCTTCTATAGGGGCCAGTGGAGGGCTGATTTGTGATTGGAAAGAAAATATAGTCATTAAAGTAATCAATTCGAATAGTAATCTGATTGAGCTAATAATTCAATCACATCCTCCTATTGGTGAGTGGCAGATATCCTTTATTTATGGCCCACATACAGCTAAAAGAATTTTGGAGAAAGATGGAGTTAGAGGCAAACATCACTAACTTGCCATGGTTAGTAATGGGAGACTTTAATGACTTGGGTGTGGGAAATGAATATATAGGAAGAGAAACAAAGAGGAAACGTGCCTCCTCTCATCTTTTATCCTTTCAAAAAAATAGAGGAATGCTGAACTTGGGCTGTATTGGTCCAACACAAAATCTGGATTTTCTTGGGTGAAAGAAAGATTGGATAAGGCGGTTGCCAATTTAGAGTGGTGCAGCACGTATGAGAATGCAAAAAATTGGCATCTAACACCTATTGAATCTGATCATTTCCCCCATACTTCTTAATACTCAACCCTCACAAGTAATGTGTAAAAATTCATTTATCTTTCAACCTATGTGGGGAGAAAGTGAAGAATGTGAAAGATTAGTTAAAGCAACGTGGGAAACTAATGTTTCTGGATGTGCAGCTTATAGAGTTGTCACTAAACTTCATAAGCTGAAACAAGAGTTGAGGAGGTAGAATAAAGAAAGTTTTGGTTGGGTTCAAGACAAAATAGTTAGCTTGTCCAAGCAATTAAAACAAATGGAGGAAGAAGGCCTAGAAAGAGAAGGATAAATGTGGCAGTTGAAATCCTAACACTATGGTTAGAGTATGGAGACAAAAAACACCAAATTCTTTCATTCAATGGTGAAAAATAGAAGGAAATTCAATTTCATTAAATGACTAAGAGATGATGTTGGTAATGAATTAACAACACAAGAAGAAATAGAGGAAGGCCTCGAACAAGAATATCTTAAAACTTGTGGGACTGCCGCATCAATTGATGAGGACTTTTTTCAAAACCTGAATTTTAATACTATTGACCAAACTCAAGCAGAAGAGTTGCTAAAATTGTCTTCAAAAGAGAAAGCGTGGGAGACTATACTGGTTTTGTGTAGGTTAGACAGGTGGTTAGACCTTTTCATGGGCCGGGCTAGGATTTTTCTTTATAAACAGAATACACTCAGGCTTGTGCCCAAGCCTGGCCTGACCATCGGGCCTAGGTCTTGAGCCCGTGCTTGGCCAAAAATTTGAAAAAAGAATTTTTTTTTTTCTTTTGAGCTTGGCCAAAGAGTTGCTAAAAGTGTTTTATTTATATTAAAGGCCCTCAAAACTCAAAAATAATAAAAGGTCTCACTATTACTTGAAAAAAGAGAAGGGTGATATAATTCAGGTCTACCTTAGAGTTTGGCCTGACTGAGTTTAGTTATGTAGAAGAAGAAAGAGTGATAAAGAAAGAGAGAAAGAGAGAAGAGAGAATTTTGGTTCGAACTGAAAGAGTCAACTTGACTTCTCCCAGTCGGCCAGTAAGTATTTATACTATTATTAAAACATAACTGAAAAGACCTATGTGCCCTTACTTAAGTTAAGAGCACATGTTTCAACACAACATTACAGATCAGCAACATCAATCAAGGTATAAAGAC